GGGGTGGGGGTGGGGATTGGGGGGCTGGCATGGCCAGCAAGGGATTTGACTTTTACTATTTGTTGTGTCAAACGGTGTCATTAGATTGCCTGTGACAAATCTTCAGGAGAAAAAAATTGTTTTATGTCATCAAAAAGCCACCAGCTTCAGGAATGGCTGGCTCCAGGGCCCGTGTTGGCTTCTTTCTCTGGTGGTTTCAAGCTCACAGACAACCCAGTTAGCAATTCCAATGGAACTGGAAGATTTCCCTTTCCCATTAGTTCCAGAAACAAAATCACCAGACCAGCTGATGACTGGCTTATATTGGTCACACGCCCAGCCCTGAGCTCGTCACAGTGACCCTGCAGGTGTGGCAACAGAACACAGTGTATGTATATTAGAGAGCTGATGTCAACCCCCTCCCCGCAAACAGCCTAAGGAATTCCACTTGGGGTGTGTCTGTGCTCTGAGAAAGGAGAGGGGCAGAACCAGGGCATGTTGACGTCAGGAACCTCTAGTTGGAAACAGGGACATCTTTCCAACATTTCTTCCTCTAAGAAGCTTGAGGGAAGGATCTATCCCTCCTACCTAATATCCCAGTCCATTTCCTGTTGTTTTAATAAAATACCTGAAGCTGGAGTCTCTATGAAGAAAAGATGTTTATGGAGCTCTGAAAGTCTGAGATTGGGGGCGGGGTGATCTGCCCCACCTATGGTGAGGATCTCAGGATGGCATGTCTGTCTTTTTGTAATAACTCATTCTTGAGAAAATAACTCATTCCCTGAGACCAGTTATCAGTCCCTTCTGGGGGCGGTGCTCAGGGCTTGTTTATCTTTCACAAGGCTCTTCCTGATAGGATCCCACTGCTTTCAACATGATCACTGGGGACCAAGCTTCCAGTAGCATTTAGGGAACACAAGCCATATCCCCAGTGACAGGTGGGGAGTAGAGTGGGGTCTGAGAAAAATCTCCTGGGTAGCAAGGTGCAGACCATGGCAGGCACCCTATGGCACAGGGAACAGTGGAGACTTCTTTGGGTGCCAAGTGGGGGCAGGGCAGCCTGGCCCTCCCTGACATCCTGGTCCTGAGTTCTAGGGTTTATGGAGGTAACAGACAAGGTAGCTACATCACCCAGTGGGAAGGGTTCCTATTTCCTGGACCTGTGTTTTTTCCTCAGGTCAGTCACCATGTGGACAGCATGGTAAGTGGCTCACCTCTCTGAATCTTGGTTTTACCTGTACCCTGGAAAGTTGTGAGGATCACCCAGGTGCAGGGCAGTCCTGGCATACCACAGGACTGGGGACACATGAGGCTATTGTGGACTCTGGCCTAGACAGCCTGGACAATGAAGTCTGGACAGGGTATGGGCCCTCTTGCTTCTGCTGGGATTGGTTCAGACTTTGGTGATCACCAGCTGGAGTTGGGTAGAGTGCCTCTGAAGGTGAGGCGTAGTCAGGCTTGTGTGCATGGGGAGAGGTACATGTGTGTGTGTTCCTGTGTGTATGTATGTGTGTGGGTATAGTCACCTGTGTGTGCACATGTGGAGGCTAGAGGTGTATCAAGTGTCTTTCTCTATTGCTTTCCACTTTTTTTTTTTTTTTTTTTTTTTTTTGAGACAAAGTCTCTCCCTGATTAGACTTGGCTGGTGAGTGAATTCCAAGGATCTGCCTATTTCTACTTTCCCAGCTCTGGGATTATGTGCTGTGCCTGGCTTTTTATGTAGGTGTTGGGGGCTGTACTCAGGTCCTCATGCTTGCTTGGTGTATTTCTGTGTCCTGTGAATGTTGAGTGCAAGAGGCTTGCTGCTGAGACTTCAGGTTGGATGACTCGGTTCCTGTGAAATGTTCAGAAAAGGCAAATCCATAGAGGCAGTGAATGGGTGGTACCCGGGGCTGGGGAAGGGCACTTGGGGAATTACAGGTAACAGCACAGAACTTCTCTGTGATATGATAAAAATGTTCTAAGGGGCTGAAGAGATGGCTCAGCAGTTACAAATGCTTCCTGTGGGGGTTAGAAAGTAGCTCAGCCTTTAAGAGCACTGACTGTTCTTGCAGAGGACCCAGGTTCAATTCCCTGGACCCATGTGGTGGCTAACAACAGTCTGCAACTCCAGTTCCAGGGGATCCAATGCCTTCTTCTGACCTCTGAGGGCACTGCACAACACAGGTGCACTTACACACATGCAGGCAATACACCCATACACATAAAATAAAAATAATAAATAAAAATTTTAAAAAAGAATGCTTCCTGCGTTTCCAGAGGATTGGAGTTGGGTTTCCAGGACCCATGTCAGGGAGCTCATAACCACTTATAAATCCAGGCCTAGGGGATCCAATGCCATTTTCTTGCCCCTGTAGGCAACCATATGCACATGGCACACACACACACACATGCAAGTTAAAAATAAAAATAAAATTTTAGTGTTTTGAAACTAGATAGAGGTGATGATGGTCGCACAATTCTGTGAATACACTGAAATTAATGACTGGAAAACATTTAAGCGTAGTTTAAAATTTTAAGTTATTGAATTTACATTTTAAAATAGAATTCATGGTGGTGCACGCCTTTAATCCCAGTGCTCGGGAGACAGAGGCAGGCAGATCTCTGTGACATTGAGGCCAGCCTGATATAGTGAGTTTCAGGTCAGTTGGGGCTACAGGGAGACCCTGTCTCAAAAAAAACAATAAATAAATAAATAAATAAATAAAATAGAATTCATGATATGTGAATTATGCCTCAATTAAAAAAAAAATCTTAGTGCTGGGAAGATGGCTCAGTGGGTAAAGTGCTGGCTATGCAAACATGAGGACCTGAGTTTAGGTCCCCAGCTAGATGTGGTGATGCATGCCTGTAATCCTAGGGCTAGCAGGCAGAGACAGAATGTTCCTGGAGGCCAGCCAATCTAGCCAAATTGGCAGCTCCAGGTTCAGTCAGAGATCTTGACTCAAAAAATAAGGTGGAGAGCAATAGAGGAAGACACCTTAACAAAATTTCAATTAGGTATATGACCACTGTCTCTATTTCTGTGGCCATAACAAAACATCTTAGGCTGAATAACTTATGATAGAATGTGTGATTTGCAGAAGAGCCACAAGCCTCATTAAGGAATTGGCAGCCTGGCCTTGCTCAAGTCTCATCAACTGGTCACTCCCTGGATTGAGAGAGGCTGTTTATGGAGCCCACCTGTCTCCTTTAGTGTGATAGATAATTTGTCTGCCTGCCTGAGAAAATAATCTTGGAAAAGAGACCCTCAAGGACACCAGACACAGAGTTAACTCTTGTAGCTGTGTACAGCGGAGTTCCTATATAAGACCAGACTGATCCCCCTTCAGATAGTAAATTCTCATTCCTCTAGGAAGAGCTTTTATCAGCCTTTGCTGGGTTCCTTGGATCCAGGAAACACATTCCTTGCCTGTTGCAGGTCTGGCTCTGACTCTTATTTCTTTTTTTTTTTTTTTTTTTTGTCTTTTTGAGACAGGGTCTCCCTCTAGCCCCAGCTGTCCTGGAACTCACTATGTAGATCAGGGTGGCCTTGAACTCACAGAGATCTGCCTGCCGTGCGCCACCATGCCTGGTTTCTGACTTTTATTTCTAAACTTTAAATTCCTTCCTTTTTCTGCCCTCCTAAATCTAACAACTTATAAGGAAAGACTTTTACTTCTTACAATCCTGAAGCTGAGAAGTCTCAGGTTAAGGCACCAGCAGATTCAGTGTCAGGTGAGGGCCTGCTTCAAAGTTGGCACCTCTTGCTATGTCCACACCTGGTATAAGAACAAAAAGGAGTGAATCTGCTCCAACAGTTCCTTTAAGAGGGGCACTAATCGCAGGCATGGTGGCGGTAGTCCCAGTACTCAGGGGGCAGAGGCAGGCCGATCTCTGTGAGTTCAAGGCCAGCGTGGTGTATGGTGGTCAGTTCCAGGCCAGCTGGGGATACTGGGAGACCCTATCTCAAAAAGACTAAAAAAAAGAAGAAGGGTACTAATCTCATTAGCCCTCAAGGCCAAACCATCTCTCCAGTCTCTGCAGGTACCATCTCTTAAACCATTCCTTAGAGGTTAAATCCCAAGGCAGGAATTTTGGAGAGAGCCTTTACACCAGGGCAGTCGCTCAGCTAGTGACTACATTTCCCAGCCCTCCTTGCAGCCAGACATGGTCACATGACTAGGCTGACTCCAATAGGGAGTGACGAGCCACAACCCCAGCGTTTCGCTTTCTCTTTCCATTGTGCTGGACTGGCAGCAAGGAGGTGATGGAGAGACTCAGCCGGAGCTGGTGACCAGGTGCACGGAGACTGGCCTGCGAAACGACTTGTGGAGAGGCCACTCCGCCACCTGGGCTGCTCCTGCTGGACTCTTTCTTCAGAGACAATAAACCTCCTTATTTAAGCCAAAAGGCATGAAGAGATTCATTTCTTTTCTCTGCTTCCTGCTTTGACATGAAGCACATGGCGGTGGGCTGGTGACCAGGATGGGAAAGCGGGTGAAAGAAGAGTTGAAGAAAATTTGGAGGTAAAAATTCATCATTCGGCTGGGCGTGGTGGCACATGCCTTTAATCCCAGCACTTGGGAGGTAGAGGCAGGCGGATCTCTGTGAGTTCAAGACCAGCCTAGTCTACATAGTGAATTCCAGGACAACTGGGGCTACAGGGAGACCCTGTCTCACAAAGACAAAAAAATTCATCATTCGGAACTCGTCATCCCAGAGCCCTGGGTCCTCGTGGCTCTCGGGATTAAGAGAGTTCTGCATGTGCCCCCAGAGCATCCTGCTTCTAGCCGGGTCCTGGATGGAAACAGGGATGTAGCCCTACCGCTGCCCCTTACTCAGAGCACAGTTCCAGCACTGCCTTGTCCAAGCCCCTGCACCTTCTCCACCTTACTGGACTTGGCTGACATTAGCCTCTCCTAGGTGGTGAATCCCAGGAAGGTGGACCACATCTTTCAGCAGACCCCACCAGCACTTTGCATGAAAAATGCTTCACACAATTGAAAAAAGTAAGTGAATGGGGGAAGATGTCATAAACTGGGGCTTTTTGCAAGTGAGACAACTGCCACTTAAAGGCTAACTCCAACCAGGCAGTTATGGGTGACAGAATCCAGAGGTACACAGCCCTGGACAGGATTCCCCCTCCATCACTGTCTGCTCTCTCTCTGCAGGCTTCAGAGCTGCGCCTTGGCTACTGCAGGCTCTCTTTCTCTAGACACTGTGGGCATGATGTTCCAGCAGAAGTCCCAGAACTTGCAGACTGGTCCAACCTGTGTCATGTGACCAGCCAAGACTCGAGCACTTGCTAGCCTTATATTGGGAGAAATGTCTGAGCTGACCTGGATGGAGATCCAGGAAGATGAGGGGAGGGGCTTCACCAGCCCTGCAGGAGGAAAGGCACAGTGGGTGGTGGAGCTGGAGACAGGAAAAATACTACAGTGCCCTGGGCATGCTTGTTTGTGAGAAAACTGCCTGAGGGGTAACTGGGCCCCCTCATCCTTGTGGCTGAGCAGGGTTGTGCATAAACCAAGAGGGGAACTTGGTTGAGTCATGACTTCATCCAGCCTTCTTGCTTGCTGGCTAGTAGTACGAGGAAATAAAAATTCTAAGTGACAAAGGCCTTAAGGATGTTATATGCGATGAAAATGTGTAATCAAGAAGGTGGACAAACATGGAAAACAATGGGAGATGGAAAAGCAATAGGAAGTCACACTGTAAAGTCCTCTATAATTAAAAAAAATTTTGTTGACTTTTATTTTACTTGTATGAATGTTGTCTGCATGTATTTATGTGCACCATGTGCATGCAATGCCTGTGGAGGCCAGGAGAGGGTGTTGGATTCCCTGGAATTGGTTGTTAGCTGCCATGTAGGTGCTAGAAACTGAACCCAGGTCTTCTGCAAGAGCAGCCAGTGCTCTTAACTGCTGAGCATCTCTCCAGTCCTGTCCTTTGTAATTTTTATTTTGTAGCCCTGGCTAGCCTTGAACTTGTGATCCTCCTGCCTCAACCTCCTGGGTGCAGGGATTTCAGGGGTGTCCACCACTCCCAGGTGTCATGTAACTGACACTCTAAGCAGTTGCTGTTTGAAGAACATGGGCTCTGTTGGATTCAGATGTTTGTAAGGGACAGATAACACTGTTACTTTGTCAAGAAAGGGCTTATTTTCTTCCAACACTTGAATCCAGAGGTGGGGACAGGGCCACATGAGAACCAGCTGGGAGTTAAGTGCTGCTCAAGTCCCTCTGTATCCTGAGCTCATGGCCCTGAGTTCCTGATGCAGTCAGGAGCAGGCAACACCATGTCTGAGAAGGAAGTGCTTTCTACTGTCCTGGGCAAGTTCTACATCAGAGTCCTTGTTGGCAAGTAGTCAGAGCTGACTCTAGATAACCCCAGCTTATACCATCCCCTAAAGGAATATTTTGGATGGTGTTATTAATTAAAATGAGATTTTTCTGCAAGTAACAGAAAATCCCTAAATAGTAATGCTTTTAACAAAGATGGAAATGTCTTATATTTGACAAGTGCATAGGTAGGTGACCTGGGCAGCCCGTAGTTTAGATGGCTCAGTTTTAAGACCCAGGTTCCTTTCAACTCAATACTCTGCCACGCCAGAGATGTCTTCATCCCATGCCCCAGGGTGGCAGCTAGAGCTGAGGACATAGTTAATATCCACACAATGGAATATTAAACAACAATAAAAAGGAATGAGCTTTTGATGTGTACAATAGTGGGGATGAATCTGAAGTGATTTTTCAAAGAAGTTATGGTTAGGGTTAGAGGAGTCCCCAATATGGAACTTTCTACATGATGCCACACTGGCTCCCTACTGACAGGAAACTTGGAGAAACTCAAGCCCTGAGGGCAAAATGTGGATTGTTGTCTAATCCTGGCTGAATGAAATTGACAGCCAGAGCTACCAGCTGGGGAAGCAGCAAACCTGCAAAGATTACTATAGCAACCAGGAACAACCTGGAACAGACAAACTTTGAGTTTGACAGCTCTTCCCTGATTGGCCCTGAGTCTCTCCCCGTATATATGCCCACATTCAGCAATTGGCCCAGTTTCTCAATAAATTCAGGTCTGAGGCTTCAAGACATTTTTGCTGCAAAACAGAGGAGGAAAACAAGGGCTTCAGAACCTGGCGCTGGCAAGGACCCTGGATCCTGGATGCTTCTGCTTCAAGACTCAACAGAGACTGAGAAAGACTCAATGGCTTTCCAGTCTGAGTCTCTGCCTTGGGCAGGGAGCTGGCTGGAGCCTGTGTCCAGTGATTGCAGGAAGAAGGGATGCCTTCCTGCCTTAGCCTCTGACACTGCACACTTCAGTTGCAGTGGGAATTTGTTCTCCAGATCAAGACCCTCTGCTTCAGAGACCTGGTGCTGCAGGAACCAGGTGACTGTAATGCTTCTCAGACCTGTAATGGCTCTCAGTATCCTGCTGCTACTGCAAGTTCATCCATTTCAGATGAATTATCAGATCTTGCGTGGCAATCAATTTACTCCCATTTAAAGCTGATCATTTTGAGTTAGTAATAAGGTCCATCCTTTTGTGCTCTGTGCTGTCTGCCTGCCCCATTCTTGAAGAGGGCAAAATGAGAACCCAGTTGGAGATAGGAGACAGTCCCTTCTGACTGCCTCACCAGTCACACTGTTAGACCATCCACTGACCCAGGGCCCCAGTGAACAAAGACGTCTCACAAGCATTACACCCCTGAACTTAGATCATTTACTGAAAGCTGAAGCAAAAAGACAGAGCATGTGGGTGCAAGGCTAACTTTGCTTTTGTTTTACTACATACCATCTGTCCTAGTTTGTTTCTTCATTGCTGTAACAAAACACTCTGACCAATACCAACTTGAGGAGGAAAGGGTTTATTCAGCTTACATCTCCTAGGTCACAGTTCATCAGGGAGCTCAAGGTAGGAACTCAGGGCAGGAACCTGGAAGCAGGAGCTGGAGCACAGGCCATGGAGAAATGCTGCTTACTGGCTTGCTCCCCTGGCCCCTGCTCAGCCTGCTTTCTTGTGCAACACAGGCCCACCTGCCCAGGGGTGGCACCACCCACAGTGGGCTGGGCCCTCCCACATCACTCATTAAGAAGATGCCCCTCAGACATGGCCACAGGCCAGTCCAATAGAGGCAGTTCCCCAATTGTGGCTCCCTCAACCCAGGTATGTCAAGTTGACACTAAAGCTATTCAGCACACCATCCCTTCAGAGGAGCCTGCACTTGAGTGGGTTGGTGTGAGGAGCAATTCACTCCCCAGATCACTGCTGAAGACAATAGTGCAATCAGCCTCAGTGGCTCTTGGTATGGTCAGGGAAAGAGACAAGAGAAAGAAACTTGCTAGTATCCCTCCAGAGGGATCTGGGCATGGCCGAAGCAGCCACCAAGGAGAGAGTGGAGGGAAGGCTCCCACTGCAGGCCTGCAGAGAGGTGACATCACCAATGTGCCCCCCTCCCCACACCCCTGCAACTCAGCAGCAAACAAATGCTCAAATCAAGCTGAGAAGCAGGAGGGTGGTACCCAGCGTTGCCACAGTGTGTTGCCTAAAATGTTGTTTCACACAAAAAATGTGAGATGTGAAGAAACAGGAAAGTGTGACCCACACACCAAGAAAAAAATGCCAACAGAGAGTGCCTTTTAGAGCCAGTACACTGGAATAACAGACAAGACATTGATGTTGCTGGTATAAAAACATTCAAAGAACTAAAGAAAACCGCAATTAAAGAAGTCAGGAATGAATAATGACAACATTGCATCAAATAGAGAAAACGAGTGAAGACATAGAAATTATTATTTGTTTTGTTTTTGAGACAGGGTCTCTGTATAGCCCCAGCTGGCCTGGAACTTGCTATGTAAACCAAGCTGGCCTCAATCACACAGAGATCCTCTTGCCCCTGTGTCCCAAGTGCTGGGATTAAAGACATGCCATCATTGCCTGGCTTAGAAATTAATTTTTAAAAAGCAAACGGAGGGCTGGGTGTGGTGGTGCATGCCTTTAGTTCCAGCACTTGGGAGGCAGAGGCAGAGGCAGAAGCAGGTAGATCTCTGTGAGTTTTAGTCCAGCCTGGTCTACATAGTGAGTTCCTGCCCAGCTGGGGCTACAGGGAGACCCTGTCTCAAAAAAAAAAAAAACCAACAAAAAAAGCCCACCACCACCACCACCACCAACAAAAAAACCAAACACGCAAGGAGAGGGCTGGGCTGGAGAGATGACTCAGTGGTTAAGAGCAGTTGTTGCTTTTGCAGAGGACTCTGGTTTGGTTCCAAGCACCCACCTGTTGGCTCACAACTGTCTGTAACTCCAGTTCCAGGCGATCTGATGCCCTCTTCTAACCTCCGTGGGCATCAGACACATGTGGTTCATATACATAAGGAACTGAGGGCATAGGTGAATGGTAACATGTGGATTCAGTCCCCAGCACTTCAAACAAATAAGTGGAAATTACGAAGTTGACAGGCACAAGCAAGAGGCTAGAGAGATGGCTCATCAGTTAAGAGCACTTCCTGCTCTTCTAGGGGACCTGAGTTGTATTCCCAGCACCCACGTTGGGCCGCTCAAAAAACTGTCTATAAATCCAGACACAGGGGATCCAACACCCTCTTCTGGTCTCTCTGGACACCTACATTCATGTGTACACACCCATAAATAAGAATAAAAAACAGTTTAAAAGGAAAAGAAAAACACAAATAATGAAAAATAAAATCCAAAACACTAGAAAGCCTCCATAACAGATGTAAGTGGTTGAAGGTAGCTTATTTAACCCAACATTTAAAGATAAAGAGAATTAGGAAAAAGACATAGAGATTCAGAAGAACCATTAGGAAAACAGTCTAATGATATGATGGGAGTGCCAGATGGAGAAAGAAGTGAAGGGAAAAATATTTGATAAAGTAATGACTGAAAACTTGCAATGTTCTGACAGTTTAGTGAACTCCAAGCAGGACAAACTCAGAGACCCACAACCTGAACATGGCAGTGCAAAAATGCCAAAGACAAAAACAGGAGGAAAGTCCCAAAAGCAGAGGAAGAAAATGAGTTTTCTCCTGGGAGAGAACTCCACAGACCATGCTTGGCTTCAGGAGGCCCTGGGATGGCACCTTCAATGGAATCAGAGACAAATCTAGATGACCTGTGGGTAGCAGACCTGGGTTAGGACAAATATTGAAGGATGTGCTTCAGGATGGTCACAGGTGACTACACACAGGAAGCAAGACCCTCCCCAAACAGAAAACAGAGAACCAATAACTGTAACTACAAAACCATTTTAATGTAAGAAATATACTTAATATAATGAAAATAAAATCTAAAAAATGAAATACAGTAAATAAGTATGCACATTTCTCCTGATTTTATCTTTAAAATTGTACAAGACAACATATATAATATACAATATATTTTGGGGGTTATACTGTATACAACTGTCACATTTACTAATAATAAAGCTGTATTTTCCTGGGAAGACGCCTCCAGACAGTAGTTTGATTCATAGAAATGAAGAGAACCAGAAATGGCAAGAATACTAACCTAACAAAAGTTATAAATAAAACGTATTCTCTCTTCTTACTGTTTATTTCAGGGACACAAAATGATTTAAAGTAATACTTATAGCAATGTAATCTTGGGTTTGTGATTTTAGAGAAAAGTGAACCAAGCTATAGGAGAGTAACCTCCCACTGGAATTAAATTAGTATAACTCTGAAGATGACAAGACCAGGAGTGGCCACTTAGAAACTCTCAGAAAGATCTATC